GGGGGGGGTATAATTGACATATACCATTATATTTCAGATGTAAAACCTCATGATTAGATATTTGCGTACATTGTGAAATGATCACACTAAGTCTAGTTGACGTGGCTCACTATACAGTAACCAAAACCAATTCATTTTCCCCCTTGGGATGAAAACTTTTAAGATCTACTCTCTCGGCAACTTTCACTTAGGCAATGCAGTATTATTAACTGTAGTCACCATGCTGTACATTACACGCCCATGATTTACTTATTTTATAACTGAAGTTTGTACTTTTTGACCCCTTTCGCTCATTTCACCCATCCACATGGAATCCTTTTTACAACCTTTAGAGCGAGTACTGTCATCTTCATTTTATAGAGTAGGCAGGTGTTGTGCAAGGCCTGGGACTTTGGAGTCAAAGCCAGGTCAGCCTGGCTCCCAAGCCTTCTCTTTCTATTATTCTCTGTCCCTGTGCTCTGACTGCCTGCCACTCCCAACGGCTGACACTGACACTGACACTGAGGGAAAGCTGCCGGGTGCCTTTGTCATCTTTATCACTCACCCCAACCTCCTCATCTTTGTAAGCTGAGCATCTTCCCCTGGGATGCCCAGCACTGGGGCTCAGAGAGTGTGTTGACTTAGAAGTCAGGTTGTAAGTCAAGTAGAAGGCCCTCATCATTTCTCACTGTTTCCTACCATCCTGACTGGTCTCTAATGCCTCTGGCTCTCCACAGTCCTCACCCCTTCTCTAGCCCCTCTACCAGCCACCCCTGCCTGCTTTCTATTCTTCTTTCTTCAAGTTGAGGCAGCTCTGCCACCTGAGGCCTGGCATGGAGCCTCTCCCTAACTGGAGTCCCCACCCCATCAATCCTGTCCTGGTTCGTTCATACTCATCCTTCTCTGACTTTTCCTCAGAAAGCCTGACTTGACCCCCCATCAGACAAAAGTAGGTCTCCCTTCTCTTTCAAAGCAGGATGCCCCCTTGTTTTCTTCCATAGCGCTTATCATGAATTGTTATTATATACTTTTTAAAAAGTTTATTTATTTATTTTGAGAGAGAGAGAGTGGGGGAGAGACAGAGAGAGACAAAGAGAGAATCTCAAGCAGTCTCCTCACTTCCAGAAAGAACCTACCACGGGACTTGATCTCATGACTGTGACATCACGACTTGAGCTGAAATCGAGTCAGTCACTTAACCAGCTAAGCTACCCAGGCACCTCTGTTATTATATACTTAGTAGTGAGCTTCTTTTTTAAAAAAAAAACCTGTTTGCTCTGCCTCAGTGTAATCTTCACGAGCTACCGAAGAAGATGATATCTGTTTTGTTCATTGTTGGGTATTTAGCACCTCAGATATCGAAGGGGCTGAAAAATGGCTGTCGAGTGAATGAATGAAGGAGACTGGGTTCAAAGGCTGTCTGTCAAGATGCTGTTGTTTTGAAGGATCAGTGCTCCCTAGTAGAATTCCCCCAGACCACGTTACTCTTTGCAATTTACCAGTTTCTTTCCATTCCTTTTTTCCTTTCCAAATGGAAGGGGATATCATTCTTTTTTTTTTTTTTTTAAAGACTTTATTAAGTAATCTCTACATCCAACACAGGGCTTGAACCCACAACCCTGGGATCAAGAGTCACCTGCTCTACCAACTGAACTAGCCAGGTACCCCAAGGGCATAGCATTCTATTGTTATTTTTACATTGTGGTACCAGAAGTCAGAAATAACCCTCTGCCATTTTCTGGTCTGAAAGAAACAGCTTTCTAACTGATTTTGTTAAAAAAACAAAAAAACAAACAACAACAAAAACCCGAACAGCCTCCCAGTACACCAAAGTCTAACATCCAACAAATACCCTAGGGGCTTTTAGCATCTTGCTAAAATAATGTCCATGTCCCAATCTTCATTTCTACTCTCCATCAGAACATTCAGTTAATTGCTTTAAATAACTAGAAATTACCTATATGGAATGTGCAGGAATTATAGAAATTCCTCACTTAGTATTTGTTAGACAAATCTGGTGTGCCCACGTATTGTTTTAGACACTTTCAGACAAAAGAGAAAAGATGTGGATCCTTCCCACAAAGAATTTGTCATTTCCCGAAAAATTAGAATAAAAGAAAATAGTTTTGGCCCTAGAAGAATATAACATTGAACAGAGTCCTTTTTTAGGCTTTGCTTCAGCATCCTACAGAGCTTCAGGATCATGACCACAAAGATGATTATCGTTGGCTAATGCTGTGAAAAATGGGGCTGATTTAGAAAGTGCCAAAATGTTCACAGCAGGTTCCAGCTTGAACTCTTTCCATAGCCCTGCACTGTCCTTAGGCAAGAGAGGTGCTAGGAACATATTCAGTCACATAGCCAGGAAGTGAGAGCACCAGAATCTGAACCCCGGCTCTAGAGCCATGTGCTTTCAGAGCGATGCCACCCCACTGTCCCTCAACTCATCACACTGTGTTACAACTACTGATGTCATTCATTGCCACCTCTTGACTATGGGCTACTTGAGGGCAGGGACTGATTTTGTTCAGTAACTGGGACATTGTGTGAACTTGGGAAAAAATAAATGATTGCATTGGGGCACAGAATGAAAAAAATGAGTAATACCTGCTCCTTTATTTCAAGGGGCCCACAATTCTTTTTCTCCTTTTTTCCTTTCTTCCTTCACAAAATGGCTGCAGGGCCTTTAATTTAAATTAATTAATTAGTTAATAGGAGGAAATAAAATTTGATGACATGTGTAATCAAATTCACATAAAATGTGAGATTCCTGCAGGGCCTTTTAAACAACCTGAGAAATAGGTATTCTCATTCTGACTTTACATGCAAGAAAAATCCGGCCCAGAGAAGGTAACTAACATGGCCAGGGTCATAGCTGGGAATTGGTACATCCAGGGTTCAGACCTTTAGTGGCTTAGCTCCAGACTCATGCTCTTAACCTTTGTAATTATCTATGTCCCCAGTAGCCTCACTGGGTAGAAGAGATGCATAAACTGATACAGAACAGGAGATAGGTACAGACAGAAGCTTGGGCAGGAGCTGAGGTGGGGGGGGGGGGGGGGGGGGGGGGGAGGGACCCAGGAAGCAGACAGCAGGTGGGAGAAAGCACAATGCCATGTGGCTGGCCCTCCTGAGGGTGGGAGGGGTGGGGATAGATTTTAATGCAGATGGGACTCTAGATCAGCCCCACAGGGAGCTCCGGGCTCATTCACAACCACCTCTTCTTCCCTGCTGGGTAAAAGGGGCTGTGGCTGGCTTCCTGGTGGGGAAGTTTCCTGGTGTGTGTGTGTGTGTGTGTGTGTGTGTGTGTGTAGGGGGACTGGGGGAGGGGCATGTTGGATGACATCAGAGGCACCAGAGCAGCCCTCATCTGCCTGTCATCTTTTTTCCTGCCCCAGCCCTCCACTTGCCATCTGCCTAGTTCTGTGAGAGGCTCTGTGAATCACAAGATCCTGTGA